TGTTTTACAGCTGTGTTCATGTTTTTACAGCTGTGATCATGTTTTTACAGCTGTGATCATGTTTTTACAGCTGTGATCATGTTTTTACAGCTGTGATCATGTTTTTACAGCTGTGATCATGTTTTTACAGCTGTGATCATGTTTTTACAGCTGTGATCATGTTTTTACAGCTGTGATCATGTTTTTACAGCTGTGATCATGTTTTTACAGCTGTGATCATGTTTTTACAGCTGTGATCATGTTTTTACAGCTGTGTTAATGTTTTTACAGCTGTGTTAATGTTTTTACAGCTGTGATCATGTTTTTACAGCTGTGATCATGTTTTTACAGCTGTGATCATGTTTTTACAGCTGTGATCATGTTTTTACAGCTGTGTTCATGTTTTTACAGCTGTGATCATGTTTTTACAGCTGTGTTCATGTTTTTACAGCTGTGATCATGTTTTTACAGCTGTGTTCATGTTTTTACAGCTGTGTTCATGTTTTTACAGCTGTGATCATGTTTTTACAGCTGTGTTCATGCAGCTGTGTTCATGCAGCTGTGATCATGTTTTTACAGCTGTGATCATGTTTTTACAGCTGTGTTCATGGTTTTACAGCTGTGTTCATGGTTTTACAGCTGTGTTCATGGTTTTACAGCTGTGTTCATGTTTTTACAGCTGTGTTCATGTTTTTACAGCTGTGTTCATGGTTTTACAGCTGTGTTCATGGTTTTACAGCTGTGATCATGTTTTTACAGCTGTGTTCATGTTTTTACAGCTGTGTTCATGGTTTTACAGCTGTGTTCATGTTTTTACAGCTGTGTTCATGGTTTTACAGCTGTGTTCATGGTTTTACAGCTGTGTTCATGGTTTTACAGCTGTGTTCATGTTTTTACAGCTGTGATCATGTTTTTACAGCTGTGTTCATGTTTTTACAGCTGTGATCATGTTTTTACAGCTGTGTTCATGTTTTTACAGCTGTGTTCATGTTTTTACAGCTGTGATCATGTTTTTACAGCTGTGTTCATGTTTTTACAGCTGTGATCATGTTTTTACAGCTGTGTTCATGTTTTTACAGCTGTGATCATGTTTTTACAGCTGTGATCATGTTTTTACAGCTGTGTTCATGTTTTTACAGCTGTGATCATGTTTTTACAGCTGTGATCATGTTTTTACAGCTGTGTTCATGTTTTTACAGCTGTGTTCATGTTTTTACAGCTGTGTTCATGTTTTTACAGCTGTGTTCATGTTTTTACAGCTGTGATCATGTTTTTACAGCTGTGATCATGACTCCGACTCGGGAGCTGGCTCTGCAGATCACCAAAGAGTGTAAGAAGTTTTCCAAACCTCTGGGACTGAGAGTGGTCTGTGTCTACGGAGGGACCGGCATCAGCGAGCAGGTGAGGCCCTCAGAGAGGGGCCCGCAGAGAGGGAGGGGCCCGCAGAGAGGGAGGGGCCCGCAGAGAGAGAGGGGCCCTCAGAGAGAGAGGGGCCCGCAGAGAGAGAGGGGCCCGCAGAGAGAGAGGGGCCCGCAGAGAGAGAGGGGCCCGCAGAGAGGGAGGGGCCCGCAGAGAGGGAGGGGCCCTCAGAGAGAGAGGGGCCCGCAGAGAGAGAGGGGCCCGCAGAGAGAGAGGGGCCCGCAGAGAGAGAGGGGCCCGCAGAGAGGGAGGGGCCCGCAGAGAGGGAGGGGCCCGCAGAGAGGGAGGGGCCCGCAGAGAGGGAGGGGCCCGCAGAGAGGGAGGGGCCCGCAGAGAGGGAGGGGCCCGCAGAGAGGGAGGGGCCCGCAGAGAGAGAGGGGCCCGCAGAGAGGGAGGGGCCCGCAGAGAGGGAGGGGCCCGCAGAGAGGGAGGGGCCCGCAGAGAGGGAGGGGCCCGCAGAGAGGGAGGGGCCCGCAGAGAGGGAGGGGCCCGCAGAGAGGGAGGGGCCCGCAGAAAGGGGCCCGCACGTGCTAATAACTAGTGCCCTAGTGAGAAATGAACTTTTTAAGGTTATTTCACTGTGGTTTTATGATGTATTTAAGGATATCGATGGGAACAGGTTTATCTTGGAGGAAACTGGACCAAGCACCGTCCACTCATTTATTTATTACTATTTCCATTTGGGGATTGATGGTTGGAAAGCAATGAAATGACCTTAAAATGAGGTATAACATGCAGTCACAGACAAGGAAAAGGTCTGGGACAAAACTTTAGTCTCCAGAGAAGTATTTATTTCTTTTCTACTTGTAAATGAAATCATCCATGTTCTACTTTAGTTGAAGTGATGCATAAATTAGGACGTCAGGACATTAGGACGTCAGGACATTAGGACGTCAGGACATTAGGACGTCAGGACATTAGGACGTCAGGACATTAGGACGTCAGGACGTTAGGACATTAGGACGTCAGGACGTTAGGACGTCTAGGACGTTAGGACGTCAGGACGTCAGGACGTCAGCACGTCAGGACGTCAGCACGTCAGGACGTCAGGACATTAGGACGTCAGGACGTTAGGACATTAGGACGTCAGGACGTTAGGACGTCTAGGACGTTAGGACGTCAGGACGTCAGCACGTCAGGACGTCAGCACGTCAGGACGTCAGCACGTCAGGACGTCAGGACATTAGGACGTCAGGACATTAGGACGTCAGGACGTTAGGACATTAGGACGTCAGGACGTTAGGACGTCTAGGACGTTAGGACGTCAGGACGTTAGGACGTCAGGACGTCAGCACGTCAGGACGTCAGCACGTCAGGACGTCAGGACATTAGGACGTCAGGACATTAGGACGTCAGGGGCAGGACATTAGGACATTATAGTGATGAGGACATTAGGACGTCAGAACATTAGGACATTATAGTGATGAGGACATTAGGACATTATAGTGATGAGGACATTAGGACGTCAGAACATTAGGACATTATAGTGATGAGGACATTAGGACATTAGGACGTCAGGACATTAGGACGTCAGGACATTAGGACGTCAGGACATTAGGACGTCAGGACATTAGGACATTAGGACATTAGGACGTCAGGACATTAGGACATTAGGACGTCAGGACATTAGGACGTCAGGACATTAGGACGTCAGGACGTCAGGACGTCAGGACGTCAGCACGTCAGGACGTCAGGGGCGGGACATTAGGACATTATAGTGATGAGGACATTAGGACGTCAGAACATTAGGACATAGTGATGAGGACATTGGGACGTCAGGACATTAGGACGTCAGGACATTAGGACGTCAGGACATTAGGACGTTAGGACATTAGGACGTCAGGACGTCAGCACGTCAGGACGTCAGGACATTAGGACGTCAGGGGCGGGACATTAGGACATTATAGTGATGAGGACATTAGGACGTCAGAACATTAGGACATTATAGTGATGAGGACATTGGGACGTCAGGACATTAGGACATTATAGTGATGAAGACATTAGGACGTCAGGACATTAGGACATTATAGTGATGAGGACATTGGGACGTCAGGACATTAGGACATTATAGTGATGAAGACATTAGGACATTATAGTGATGAGGACATTAGGACATTATAGTGATGAGGACATTAGGACGTCAGGACATTATAGTGATGAGGACATTGGGACGTCAGGACATTAGGACATTATAGTGATGAGGACATTAGGACATTATAGTGATGAGGACATTAGGACGTCAGAACATTAGGACATTATAGTGATGAGGACATTGGGACGTCAGGACATTAGGACATTATAGTGATGAAGACATTAGGACGTCAGGACATTAGGACATTATAGTGATGGAGACATTAGGACGTCAGGACATTAGGACATTATAGTGATGAAGACATTAGGACATTATAGTGATGAGGACATTAGGACATTATAGTGATGAGGACATTAGGACGTCAGGACATTATAGTGATGAGGACATTGGGACGTCAGGACATTAGGACATTATAGTGATGAAGACATTAGGACGTCAGGACATTAGGACATTATAGTGATGAGGACATTAGGACATTATAGTGATGAGGACATTAGGACATTATAGTGATGAGGACATTAGGACGTCAGGACATTAGGACATTATAGTGATCAGTTGGTGCTGGTGCAGATCGCGGAGCTGAAGAGAGGACGTTAGGACGTCAGGACATTAGGACGTCAGGACATTAGGACATTAGGACGTCAGGACATTAGGACGTCAGGACATTAGGACGTCAGGACATTAGGACATGAGGACATTAGGACGTTAGGACATTATAGTAATCAGTTGTGCTGGTGCAGATCGCGGAGCTGAAGAGAGGACATTAGGACGTCAGGACATTAGGACATTAGGACATTATAGTGATGAGGACGTTAGGACATTAGGACGTCAGGACATTAGGACGTCAGGACATTATAGTGATGAGGACGTTAGGACGTCAGGACATTAGGACGTCAGGACATTAGGACGTTAGGACATTAGGACAATAGGACATTAGGACGTTAGGACGTCAGGACATTAGGACATTAGGACATTGTAGTGATCAGTTGGTGCTGGTGCAGATCGCGGAGCTGAAGAGAGGACATCAGGACATTAGGACGTCAGGACATTAGGACAATAGGACGTTAGGACGTCAGGACATTAGGACGTCAGGACATTAGGACATTAGGACATTATAGTAATCAGTTGTGCTGGTGCAGATCGCGGAGCTGAAGAGAGGACATTAGGACATGAGGACATGAGGACATGAGGACATTAGGACATTATAGTAATCAGTTGTGCTGGTGCAGATCGCGGAGCTGAAGAGAGGACATTAGGACATTAGGACATGAGGACATTAGGACATGAGGACATGAGGACATGAGGACATTAGGACGTCAGGACATGAGGACATGAGGACATGAGGACATGAGGACATGAGGACATGAGGACGTCAGGACATGAGGACATGAGGACATGAGGACATTAGGACATGAGGACATGAGGACATTAGGACATTAGGACGTCAGGACATGAGGACATGAGGACATTAGGACATGAGGACGTCAGGACATGAGGACATGAGGACATGAGGACATTAGGACGTCAGGACATGAGGACATGAGGACATGAGGACATGAGGACATGAGGACATGAGGACATTAGGACATGAGGACATGAGGACATTAGGACATTAGGACGTCAGGACATGAGGACATGAGGACATTAGGACATGAGGACGTCAGGACATGAGGACATGAGGACATGAGGACATTAGGACGTCAGGACATGAGGACATGAGGACATGAGGACATGAGGACATGAGGACATGAGGACATTAGGACATGAGGACATGAGGACATTAGGACATTAGGACGTCAGGACATGAGGACATGAGGACATTAGGACATTAGGACGTCAGGACATGAGGACATTATAGTGATGAGGACGTTAGGACGTCAGGACGTTAGGACATTAGGACGTCAGGACGTCAGGACGTCAGCACGTCAGGACGTCAGGACGTCAGGACATTAGGACGTCAGGACATTAGGACGTCAGGGGCAGGACATTAGGACATTATAGTGATGAGGACATTAGGACGTCAGAACATTAGGACATTATAGTGATGAGGACATTAGGACATTATAGTGATGAGGACATTAGGACATTATAGTGATGAGGACATTAGGACGTCAGAACATTAGGACATTATAGTGATGAGGACATTAGGACATTAGGACGTCAGGACATTAGGACGTCAGGACATTAGGACGTCAGGACATTAGGACGTCAGGACATTAGGACATTAGGACAATAGGACATTAGGACGTTAGGACGTCAGGACATTAGGACATTAGGACATTGTAGTGATCAGTTGGTGCTGGTGCAGATCGCGGAGCTGAAGAGAGGACATCAGGACATTAGGACGTCAGGACATTAGGACATTATAGTAATCAGTTGGTGCTGGTGCAGATCGCGGAGCTGAAGAGAGGACATCAGGACATTAGGACGTCAGGACATTAGGACAATAGGACGTTAGGACGTCAGGACATTAGGACATTAGGACATTATAGTAATCAGTTGTGCTGGTGCAGATCGCGGAGCTGAAGAGAGGACATTAGGACATGAGGACATGAGGACATTAGGACATTATAGTAATCAGTTGTGCTGGTGCAGATCGCGGAGCTGAAGAGAGGACATTAGGACATTAGGACATGAGGACATTAGGACATTAGGACATGAGGACATGAGGACATTAGGACATTAGGACGTCAGGACATGAGGACATTAGGACATGAGGACATTAGGACATGAGGACATGAGGACATGAGGACATTAGGACATGAGGACATTATAGTGATGAGGACGTTAGGACGTCAGGACGTTAGGACGTCAGCACGTCAGGACGTCAGGACATTAGGACGTCAGGACATTAGGACGTCAGGGGCAGGACATTAGGACATTATAGTGATGAGGACATTAGGACGTCAGAACATTAGGACATTATAGTGATGAGGACATTAGGACATTATAGTGATGAGGACATTAGGACGTCAGAACATTAGGACATTATAGTGATGAGGACATTAGGACATTAGGACGTCAGGACATTAGGACGTCAGGACATTAGGACGTCAGGACATTAGGACGTCAGGACATTAGGACATTAGGACATTAGGACGTCAGGACATTAGGACGTCAGGACATTAGGACGTCAGGACATTAGGACGTCAGGACATTAGGACGTCAGCACGTTAGGACGTTAGGACGTCAGGACGTCAGCACGTCAGGACGTCAGGGGCGGGACATTAGGACATTATAGTGATGAGGACATTAGGACGTCAGAACATTAGGACATTATAGTGATGAGGACATTGGGACGTCAGGACATTAGGACATTATAGTGATGAGGACATTGGGACGTCAGGACATTAGGACGTCAGGACATTAGGACGTCAGGACATTAGGACGTCAGGACATTAGGACGTCAGGACGTCAGCACGTCAGGACGTCAGGACATTAGGACGTCAGGGGCGGGACATTAGGACATTATAGTGATGAGGACATTAGGACGTCAGAACATTAGGACATTATAGTGATGAGGACATTGGGACGTCAGGACATTAGGACATTATAGTGATGAAGACATTAGGACGTCAGGACATTAGGACATTATAGTGATGAGGACATTGGGACGTCAGGACATTAGGACATTATAGTGATGAAGACATTAGGACATTATAGTGATGAGGACATTAGGACATTATAGTGATGAGGACATTAGGACGTCAGGACATTATAGTGATGAGGACATTGGGACGTCAGGACATTAGGACATTATAGTGATGAGGACATTAGGACATTATAGTGATGAGGACATTAGGACGTCAGAACATTAGGACATTATAGTGATGAGGACATTGGGACGTCAGGACATTAGGACATTATAGTGATGAAGACATTAGGACGTCAGGACATTAGGACATTATAGTGATGAAGACATTAGGACATTATAGTGATGAGCTTAGGACATTAGGACATTATAGTGATGAGGACATTAGGACGTCAGGACATTATAGTGATGAGGACATTGGGACGTCAGGACATTAGGACATTATAGTGATGAAGACATTAGGACATTATAGTGATGAGGACATTAGGACGTCAGGACATTAGGACATTATAGTGATGAAGACATTAGGACGTCAGGACATTAGGACATAGGAGTATTCTGGCGCCATCTAGTGGATTAAAATTAAATTACACGAGTCATTCTGAGATTATTGAGTGTGATTAGGTTCAGGTGTGTAGCTTTACAATTATCTTAGTGTGTAAACAAGGGTGGAATGAGACTTTCTGGTCTGTAAACTATTGCTTTAAGCAGCAATGACAACTGTCTGTTTTTTTTTTGTGTGACAAGTGAGCTGTCAATCACAGCCCAGACCACGCCCAACTCTAAGCCCCCCTTCTTGTCCCTTGGTCCTCCAGGCAACGCCCTTTTTAGAGAAAATGTTCAAATCTTCATGTGGGCGGAGTCAGGCTGTTCATGTGGGCGGAGTCAGGCTGTTCATGTGGGCGGAGTCAGGCTGGGCACAGGTGTTTAGTCGCTCTTCAACTTGAGTAGAATGAATAAAAGCCTGAACCATAGACCACAGAGGGGACCAGACTCCACCCATTTCCTCAGGTCCCCAGGTTCAGACTAGCTAGCAGGTTAGCCCGTTAGCAGGTTAATCAGTTAGCCAGTTAGCCAGTTAGTATATTAATCGGTGAGCAAGTTTGCATGCTAGCCAGTAAGCAGGTTAATTGGTTAGCCAGATAGCATGTTAGCCAGTTAGTTGGTCAGCCATGTGCATTTTAGCCAGTTAGCAGGTTAGCCAGTTAGTCGGTTAAACAGTTAGTCAGTTAGCTAGCAGGTTAGCGTCGTCTGTGGCCAGTGTAAACGCACCGCTTTCTGCTGGTCCTTGAAGGAGGCCCAGAGCTGCTCCAGCTCGGTGGGGATAGAGCCCCCCGACAGCTCCAGGCCTTTGATGATGTCACCGGCGTATCGCGCCTGTTCGTCCGTGATGAAGGTGTAGGCGTAGCCCTGAAACCAACACCAGACAAGGTTTCACCGGAGAAACATTTAGGAAGCTACGTACTAGCATTAGCAGTGCAGTCACATGATCTTTAACACTAGCTTCACTCTGATGGTGCAGTGATGGTACAGTGATGGTACAGTGATGGTGCAGTGATGGTGCAGTGATGGTGCAGTGATGGTGCAGTGATGGTGCAGTGATGGTGCAGTGATGGTGCAGTGATGGTGCAGTGATGGTGCAGTGATGGTGCAGTGATGGTGCAGTGATGGTGCAGTGATGGTAGATTGATGGTACCTTGTTCCCCGCCCTCCCGGTGCGTCCCGCTCGGTGCACATAGTCCTCATAATGGTTGGGACAGCCGTAGTTGACGACCAGGATGAGCTGCTTCACGTCCAGGCCTCTCGCCGCCACAGACGTGGCCACCATGAGACGACACACGCCGTTCTTAAAGTCATTGATGATGCTGTCGCGGTCGTACTGGTCGATGCCTCAACACAACACACACACAACACACACGTTAACACAACACACTCACGTTAACACAACACACTCACGTTAACACAACACACTCACGTTAACACAACACACTCACGTTAACACAACACACACACACTCACGTTAACACAACACACACTCACGTTAACACAACACAACACACACACGCCGTTCTTAAAGTCATTGATGATGCTGTCGCGGTCGTACTGGTCGATGCCTCAACACAACACAACACAACACGTTAACACAACACACACACACGTTAACACAACACACACACACACACGTTAACACAACACACACACACGTTAACACAACACACACACACACACGTTAACACACACGCCGTTCTTAAAGTCATTGATGATGCTGTCGCGGTCGTACTGGTCGATGCCTCAACACAACACAACACAACACGTTAACACAACACACACACGTTAACACAACACACACACACACAGACGTTAACACAACACACACACACACAGACGTTAACACAACACACACACACACACACGTTAACACAACACAACACACACACAGACGTTAACACAACACAACACACACACAGACGTTAACACAACACACTCACGTTAACACAACACACTCACGTTAACACAACACAACACGTTAACACAACACACACACACGTTAACACAACAAACACACACACACGTTAACACAACACACACGTTAACACAACACACACACACTCACGTTAACACAACACACACACACTCACGTTAACACAACACACACACACACACGGTTAACACAACACACACACACTCACGTTAACACAACACACACACACTCACGTTAACACAACACACACACACTCACGTTAACACAACACACACACACTCACGTTAACACAACACACACACACTCACGTTAACACAACAAACACACACACACACACGTTAACACAACACACACACACGCCGTTCTTAAAGTCATTGATGATGCTGTCGCGGTCGTACTGGTCGATGCCTCAACACAACACAACACACTCATGTTAACACAACACACACACAACACGTTAACACAACACACACACACACACACGTTAACACAACACACTCACGTTAACACAACACACACACACGTTAACACAACACACACACACTCACACGTTAACACAACACAACACACACACGCCGTTCTTAAAGTCATTGATGATGCTGTCGCGGTCGTACTGGTCGATGCCTCAACACAACACAACACAACACGTTAACACAACACACACACACGTTAACACAACACACACACACACACGTTAACACAACACACACACACGTTAACACAACACACACACACACACGTTAACACACACGCCGTTCTTAAAGTCATTGATGATGCTGTCGCGGTCGTACTGGTCGATGCCTCAACACAACACAACACAACACGTTAACACAACACACACACGTTAACACAACACACACACAGACGTTAACACAACACACACACACACAGACGTTAACACAACACACACACACACACACGTTAACACAACACAACACACACACAGACGTTAACACAACACAACACACACACAGACGTTAACACAACACACTCACGTTAACACAACACACTCACGTTAACACAACACAACACGTTAACACAACACACACACACGTTAACACAACAAACACACACACACGTTAACACAACACACACGTTAACACAACACACACACACTCACGTTAACACAACACACACACACTCACGTTAACACAACACACACACACTCACGTTAACACAACACACACACACACACGTTAACACAACACACACACACTCACGTTAACACAACACACACACACTCACGTTAACACAACACACACACACTCACGTTAACACAACACACACACACTCACGTTAACACAACACACACACACTCACGTTAACACAACAAACACACACACACACACGTTAACACAACACACACACACGCCGTTCTTAAAGTCATTGATGATGCTGTCGCGGTCGTACTGGTCGATGCCTCAACACAACACACACACTCACGTTAACACAACACACACTCATGTTAACACAACACACACACACTCACGTTAACACAACACACACTCATGTTAACACAACACACACTCATGTTAACACAACACACACACACACACTCACGTTAACACAACACACACACACACGTTAACACAACACACACTCATGTTAACACAACACACACACACACGTTAACACAACACACACACACTCAAGTTAGCGTGACAGAGCACACATTCCTGCTGGGGCCTCTGGTACTTCAACTCTCCTCCCCTCTCTCCCCCCTCCTCCCCCCTCCTCCCCCCTCACTCACCTCCGTGCAGAGACAGACAGGGGTAGGAGGCCTTCATCTCTCCCCCCTCCTCCCCCCTCCTCCCCCCTCCTCCCCCCTCACTCACCTCCGTGCAGAGACAGACAGGGGTAGGAGGCCTTCATCAGGTCTTTGAGCAGAGCGTCTGCGTGTTCCTGTTTGTCCACAAAGATCAGGACAGATCCTTTCTCCTGATAATGTCCCAGAATCTCCAACAGCTTCAGGAACTTCTTCTCCTCCTCGATCACCAGCTACAGACACAACACAGACCTCAGACTGTAGCTACAGACACACCACAGACCTCAGACTGAAGCTACAGACACACCACAGACCTCAGACTGTAGCTACAGACACACCACAGACCTCTGACTGAAGCTACAGACACACCACAGACCTCAGACTGAAGCTACAGACACACCACAGACCTCTGACTGTAGCTACAGACACACCACAGACCTCTGACTGAAGCTACAGACACACCACAGACCTCAGACTGAAGCTACAGACACACCACAGACCTCTGACTGAAGCTACAGACACACCACAGACCTCTGACTGAAGCTACAGACACACCACAGACCTCAGACTGAAGCTACAGACACACCACAGACCTCTGACTGAAGCTACAGACACACCACAGACCTCTGACTGAAGCTACAGACACACCACAGACCTCTGACTGAAGCTACAGACACACCACAGACCTCAGACTGAAGCTACAGACACACCACAGACCTCTGACTGAAGCTACAGACACACCACAGACCTCAGACTGAAGCTACAGACACACCACAGACCTCAGACTGAGACTGAAGCTACAGACACACCACAGACCTCTGACTGAAGCTACAGACACACCACAGACCTCTGACTGTAGCTACAGACACACCACAGACCTCTGACTGAAGCTACAGACACACCACAGACCTCAGACTGAAGCTACAGACACACCACAGACCTCAGACTGAAGCTACAGACACACCACAGACCTCAGACTGAAGCTACAGACACACCACAGACCTCTGACTGAAGCTACAGACACACCACAGACCTCTGACTGAAGCTACAGACACACCACAGACCTCAGACTGAAGCTACAGACACACCACAGACCTCTGACTGAAGCTACAGACACACCACAAACCTCTGACTGAAGCAACAGACACACCACAGACCTCTGACTGAAGCTACAGACACACCACAGACCTCTGACTGAAACTACAGACACACCACAGACCTCTGACTGAAGCTACAGACACACCACAAACCTCTGACTGAAGCTACAGACACACCACAGACCTCTGACTGAAGCTACACACACACCACAGACCTCTGACTGAAGCTACAGACACACCACAGACCTCTGACTGAAGCTACAGACACACCACAGACCTCAGACTGAAGCTACAGACACCACAGACCTCAGACTGAAGCTACAGACACACCACAGACCTCAGACTGAAGCTACAGACACACCACAGACCTCTGACTGAAGCTACAGACACACCACAGACCTCTGACTGAAGCTACAGACACACCACAGACCTCTGACTGAAGCTACAGACACACCACAGACCTCTGACTGAAGCTACAGACACACCACAGACCTCTGACTGAAGCTACAGACACACCACAGACCTCAGACTGAAGCTACAGACACACCACAAACCTCTGACTGAAGCTACAGACACACCACAGACCTCTGACTGAAGCTACAGACACACCACAGACCTCAGACTGAAGCTACAGACACACCACAGACCTCTGACTGAAGCTACAGACACACCACAGACCTCAGACTGAAGCTACAGACACACCACAGACCTCAGACTGTAGCTACAGACACACCACAGACCTCAGACTGAAGCTACAGACACACCACAGACCTCTGACTGAAGCTACACACACACCACAGACCGCTGACTGAAGCTACAGACCTCTGACTGAAGCTACAGACACGCCACAGACCTCTGACTGAAGCTACAGACACACCACAGACCTCAGACTGAAGCTACAGACACACCACAGACCTCTGACTGAAACTACAGACACACCACAGACCTCTGACTGAAGCTACAGACACACCACAGACCTCTGACTGAAGCTACAGACACACCACAGACCTCTGACTGAAGCTACAGACACACCACAGACCTCTGACTGAAGCTACAGACACACCACAGACCTCAGACTGAAGCTACAGACACACCACAGACCTCTGACTGAAGCTACACACACACCACAGACCTCTGACTGAAGCTACAGACACACCACAGACCTCTGACTGAAGCTACAGACACACCACAGACCTCTGACTGAAGCTACAGACACACCACAGACCTCTGACTGAAGCTACAGACACACCACAGACCTCTGACTGAAGTTACAGACACACCACAGACCTCTGACTGAAGCTACAGACACACCACAGACCTCTGACTGAAGCTACAGACACAGCACAGACCTCAGACTGAAGCTACAGACACAGCACAGACCTCAGACTGAAGCTACAGACACACCACAGACCTCTGACTGAAGCTACAGACACACCACAGACCTCTGACTGAAGCTACAGACACACCACAGACCTCTGACTGAAGCTACAGACACAACACAGACCTCAGACTGAAGCTACAGACACACCACAGACCTCTGACTGAAGCTACAGACACAACACAGACCTCAGACTGAAGCTACAGACACACCACAGACCTCTGACTGAAACTACAGACACACCACAGACCTCTGACTGAAGCTACAGACACACCACAGACCTCAGACTGAAGCTACAGACACACCACAGACCTCTGACTGAAGCTACAGACACACCACAGACCTCAGACTGAAGCTACAGACACACCACAGACCTCTGACTGAAGCTACAGACACACCACAGACCTCTGACTGAAGCTACAGACACACCACAGACCTCTGACTGAAGCTACAGACACACCACAGACCTCAGACTGAAGCTACAGACACACCACAGACCTCAGACTGAAGCTACAGACACACCACAGACCTCTGACTGAAGCTACAGACACACCACAGACCTCAGACTGAAGCTACAGACACACCACAGACCTCAGACTGAAGCTACAGACACACCACAGACCTCAGACTGAAGCTACAGACACACCACAGACCTCTGACTGAAGCTACAGACACACCACAGACCTCTGACTGAAGCTACAGACACACCACAGACCTCTGACTGAAGCTACAGACACACCACAGACCTCTGACTGAAGCTACAGACACACCACAGACCTCTGACTGAAGTTACAGACACACCACAGACCTCTGACTGAAGCTACAGACACAGCACAGACCTCAGACTGAAGCTACAGACACAGCACAGACCTCAGACTGAAGCTACAGACACACCACAGACCTCTGACTGAAGCTACAGACACACCACAGACCTCAGACTGAAGCTACAGACACAGCACAGACCTCTGACTGAAGCTACAGACACACCACAGACCTCTGACTGAAGCTACAGACACACCACAGACCTCTGACTGAAGCTACAGACACACCACAGACCTTTGACCTTTAGTCATTTATCACTACAGTCTGTCAGAGGGCACATACTTTTGGACTGTGTTTAAACTGTAATAATCTGTAATAATCTGTAATAAACTAATAATAAACTAATAATAAACTAATAATAAACTAATAATAAA